CGATGATGCATACAATGGACTCCGGACTAGGTGAGTTCCTCTAAGTCTTCCTACCAATATGACCATGTTGCGAAAAAAATCGAAGTATCCTTCGTATAATTCAACAGACAATAGTCCAAGCCAACCCTCCTTCGATATAGGTGCGGGAAATCTACAACATCGCCGGCATCGTCAGTGAGTATCGCCATTCTTAGCACCACGTTTGGGAATGTACCACGTCCACGATTCAACTTTGGAAATGATGATGCCTACAATGAACTCCCGAATAGGTGCGTTCCTTTAAGTCTTCCTGCTGATTGACTTGACGAGTGTGAACTGATAGGCTGGCAGGGATTAGTTGAGATGTAAAGTCGACTGTACCCATTTCGAGGACTGGCTGCGGGCGGAGTACTCAGATGCCGTTGCCACCAATGGAACTCCATCGACTCTTCTGGCAAATGTGCTCAAGCCTTGAGAAAGGGTCACTGTTAAAGGCGCAGAAAGGCCGTATCTTCGTACGGTGTTAGCCAAAGGGCTTGCCTGTACCTAGTCATCGTAATTTCCCATAAGTAGCGTAATTTTTCCCACCACAAATGCAATTTGGGAGAGGCTTGGTTTGTCTTGAAGGTCGATAGGTATACTCATGATTCGGCTGGCCAATTACATTGGGGATGCTGAGACCCGGGCGGGGTGGCAATCGCAATAGACTCGGAATGAGGTAGTCTATCGGAAGGCAAGGCTAAGAGAAATTTAATGGCCCGATTGGGAGGAACCTCAAGTATCAGCTCTTAAAACATCTTAAGGTACATAAGCTGACTTAGTGTTTATTCCTCGGATGACTGATAGTCTCGAAACCTATATGCATCGAAAATAGTGGAATTGACACCGAATAAGCAGGTTCCGAAATTATTAATTATCTACTTATAGGAAGAGCAAAAAGGACGGGATCGAGAAGTTAAACTTGTGTGGAATGTACCACGTCCACGGTCCTCCTCTGGAAATGATGATGCATACAATGGACTCCGAAATAGGTGCGTTCCTCTAAGTCACCCTACTAATATGACCATGTTGCGAAGGCAAGGTCAAACAACCTCTAAACTTGTGTTTATTGCTAAACGCGACACAGTTAGAGAATCACTCCCATTGAATATCGGTCCATAACCCAAGAGATAGCTAAGGATAGAAAGGCCGTTACGAGCTATTCTTGAATTTAGTCTTTATGCTGAACTCTTGCCTCAGCCTCTAAGCCTCGACCATCGAATCGCAACATGAACGGTCCTCTCAGCGCATGCCCGATCGTCGAGCAGGACGTAATAAATAAAAAATAAGTTCGAGTGTGTTTTATGGATGATCATTTTCACTGCTTAGGGTACACAACGAACTAGTCCATCGTCCAGCCTCACCCGAAATAAGAAGTAGAAATTCACCTCTGCCGACACAAGGGAGATTCGAGCTCTTAGGCCTTCCCATAAGTCATGGGAAGATTGCCCTTGCTGGCGGCATTAGGCCTCGAGGTGAGTTGTCTGTGGAAGAGGCAAACCATTTTTACATAAAAAGACCCGCTTTCTTCGTCTACACGCGTCAAGGCGGGAGGCATGTCCAAACAAAACTGGGCCTTTAGACGAGATCCAAATGCTGAGGCGCACACCGTCTCTATGAATTCCACACGAATGCCGGCACCAAGCGAAGGATGACGAAAATACGAAGAGGTCATCTGCCGGCACGTCAGACCGGAGAAGAAGCTTTGCAAGTTCGGCTGATTGAGGCATGCCTGTCTGGCCAACTCACACCCGCCAGGAGGAGACAGAAGCGAGAGAACGGTACCCGCAACGGCGTCACGAGTCTTCGCATTGGCCGGCTTTGCAGGCATCCAAAGCCCTGTTTCGTGATCCGTTTCATCCGCGCAGAGCACCCGCTGAAGGACGATTATGAAGAATCAACCGATACAAACTGAAGGATGACTCATGCAACCCGGAAGGCCTGTCATGAACACTCTTTCGAGACGCCTCTCTTCAATCGACTCCACACAGTACCGAAGGCACAAGCGTCCCATTAGTAGAGAGAGAGAGAGAGAGAGTAATTGCTCTTTAAACCTTTTGACAAGGAATTCCTTCAATCCGCCATTCCGGTTTGATCGTCCACGTGCCGTTCCGTCAGACCGCCGAAGGAGAGGCGGCCGGCCAACCGAGACGGCGGACAATGCGGACCCGGGAGAAGTTAATGGCGGCGTCGACGCGACAATCAGGAGGACCCTCTTCAAGCTGGCGCCAGTTAGTGGCACTTCCGTCTCCATCACGACAGTCACCAGACGACGCCAGTGGAGAGAACCGATCCGGCAGACCTCACTCCGTCGCCCCGAAGGCATGGCGGCAACAGGTCTACGGGGGAAAGCACACCAGCCGAGCCTCGTGGGTCCGCGGTGTCCGAGGTCGCGAGAAAGACTGTGGAACAGCCAGACGACGGTCGAGTCCCGACCTGAAGGTGTCCGCCCCGGCGAGACGAACGGCCCTCGGCGTCGGGGAGCCGAAGGGCAGAATGGCCGAGCGCAAAAGGCAAGCCTCGGGCCGGCTGCAAAATTGGCGGGCAGCGGCCATGTTGCGCGAGCGAGGCAGCCGCCATGTTGCGCAAGGCGAGATTGGCGACAAGGCGCGAGCCGATGAGGCACCGAATAACGAGGCGACTCAGCAAGGCAGCCAGAGCAGTAGTGCATGATGGCC